AAAGCTATCCCATTTTCCCCCCTAGGCTGCTGCATGTGAACAATCCCAGGAAGAGATCTGCAGAGCATTTTATGACATTGTTGAAAACTGGGCAATGAAGCCCTTATTCTGAGGATGATGATGATGATGATGATTATATTTCTTCTTTTTTGGTGATCACTCGTAACCAAGTTAGATTGTCTTCCATGAACACGGTCTTAAAATTGAGTCCGTAAGTGACTGTGGAGGCCAATTCTGGATCCACACGTCCTTCCACAGTGGGGACATTGGGAGTTGATCACGGTGTGGATTTGCCAAGCGTGCCTTCCTCTTAGCACGTTTCTCCCTCCCTTAGTTTGAGTGTGTTCAAAGCCCATGACACCTTTGGTAAAGGCTGTTCTCCAACTGGAGCGCTCACAGGCCAATGTTTCCCGATTGTCAGTGTTTATACTACTTTTTTTTTTTTTAGATTTGCCTTGAGAGAGTCTTTAAACTTCTTTTGTTGATCACCTGCATTATGCTTACCATTTTTAAGTTCAGAATAGAGTAGTTTCTTTGGAAGACATCCGGACAACACGACCAGTCCAATGAAATTGATGTTGAAGAATCATGGCTTCAACACTGGTGATCTTTGCTTTTTCTTTATTATTTATACTCTGCCCATCTGGCTGGGTTTCTCTAGCCATTCTGGGTGGCTTATAGCATATATTACAAATGTTCATTACTATTTCTTTCCGGTCTATAGTTTTATTTTGTTTTTGTTTTTGTTTTGTTCTGTGGTGTGTTTTTTTTAAAGACAGTGTTCCACTCGTTCCTGACTTTTTAAAAAAGGCTGAGATTTCTTTTATAGCTATTTTTATTGACTCCTTTTGTAAGCTGCTTTAAAAAAAAATCAGTTTAAAGGCAGAATATATTTGCTTTCAGCAAACAAACAAAGAATAATGATTCCCTATGGGGCATGGATGACTTGATGTGTTTGCAGTTCGTTCACCCACAAGGGCTTACCCCTTCCACTTCAGAGAAAAACGCAAAGGCAAGGAGGCAGGCAGGCAGGCATGGAGCTGCCCTGGCCATTGACATGAATGGGTAAGCCTACTCAGAAGAAAACATCTGAATGGAAACAAAGGATTTCAATCAGATGCCAGAGTGTATATGACATTTGCTCCTCAGCTAAAATAATATAACCCTTCTAAATCCGTAAGTCCCTGAAGGCTTGAAAGAGCTGGAATTAGTTTAGCCTGGGTTACATCCCTAATTGCCAGCATGTCAAGAAAGAGGCAAATGCACATTTTAGGAGGACAATAAAAACGGCAGTCATTTTCCTGCCATTGCACCAGCCTCACCCCCTTTTGCTCCCTAATGGAGAAAGATGATCAAAGTTGAAGTCTCCACTGCCCATCACCGGCAAGAGAAAGAACATTTCATCTTGAAACAGGGCGTCAATTTCCACCGAGCAGTGACAGCAGCAGTACGGTGGTTTGACCAGTTGGAAAAGTTTATTCTCTGCTCTGCACAGCTTCTCCGCCCCACACCCGCAATGCGAAGCATCCATCTGGAATGAAATGGACCACAAGCTAGAAATGTTTCTCAAGCATCTCCAAATCCGCAACAAGGTAATTTAATCTTTGAAAGACTGGAAACATTCTGTTTTTGTTTGCTTGACATTGCAAGAGGAAAATCAAAAGTATTGGAGTTCACCGATTGGGTCTGCATTGCTCCTGGACAGGAGGAAAGAAGTCATCAAATGACACTGGGGTGGATTCAAAGAAAGAGTTTATTCTGCTCTCCGGATAGCAGAAGGCACTTGTGTGATCAAGTCCACAGCAAGTCCAAAGAAATGAGAAGTTTCATGCAGTATATATATATCCTCCAGGCATCCTCTCCCTCCTCCCCTAGGAACCCAACCACGTCGGCCTATGTATGTAGGTTGACATCACATATGTTCCTGCTCTGGTATTCTCAACCATAAAAGGATCTTCCTTCCTGTACTTCTGACCATAAAAGGATCTTCCTTCCTACTCTTATCTGGGAGGAAAGAGGTCTTCATCTCCGGGAACATGCTTCTAGCATTTTCCCCGAACATTGGTCTGCGCATATTTTGTGGTCAGCACATAAGATAAGGTACTGACGTGTTTTCTCTGTTCCCCTAGAGAGCCAGGGTCATCTCTTGCCGTGACTGATAAAGGAGAGAGCTTGTTTACGCAGCTGTGTCCTTGTTATGCTTTTTGCTCAACATCTCAAGTTTTACGCATTTTAGAGTGCTCTCTTTTGAAAGAACAAAAGGGGGATGTTTGAGTCAGTTTTAAACTTACTGCACAGAAACCCATTCCTTCACTTTCTTTTTCCCCTCATAAAGGTCTGTGCAGAGGGATGAGTTCCAGTTTCTCTCAATTTATCATTTTTACAATCTTACATTCAATTCTCCACCTTTCCACATCCATTTGTGGGTTGTTGTTTTTCAAAAAAGCTCTCATGAAAATTCACCACCAAATTTCTCAAAATATATAGTTTTCTGTATGCAGTTTTGCCTAAAGTAATATTTGCAAATATCCCCCCCATGTGATGGATTTTTCTGTGTTATTTTCACTATATACATTTTAATGTACACTTCACCCTAGTATCTGCATTTTTTGTACATATTACTTGGCTGTAGAACTGTGGTGCAGCATTTAGAGAACTGAAAAATTTGAAGGATGTCTGGGTTTCATTTCTTGTATGGTTTCAGAAAGTGATATTTAGCCTTGTAAGTGTGCCCTAAATCAAATTTCTTCTCCTTCCCTACAGGATACCAATTGCTAAGGGCAAACTTGCAGAAATCAGAAGTTGAGGTTCCCCCAAAATGTGTTTGTACATTGTATAGTAATAATAAAACAAAATTATATATGACAATAATCAATTGAACCACAGCCCAGTCTACCTGGGCTGTCTCTTAAACCGTATAGCACTAAGCTCTTACATAAAACTGATTATAACACTGCTCCTGTAACAAAGGCATGCTCCCTTAACTAGTGCCTTATTTTTAGGAAATCATCAATCTGCATTACTAATATGAAAGCTTAATGAAATGATCCTTGTTTAGTCAAATTATTCCTATACCCCAGAACTGTGTTTTGCTGGAATGCTTCTAATACTAAAATTACATGTGCTGAACTTACTAGCGTGGCAGGCTTGAGATTGTGTGTGTGTGTGTGTGTGTGTGTGTGTGTCCTTTTCACATTATATCGTGCTTAGATTCTCTGAACCAGCAAGAAAGATCCATGTGCAGAAACAACCTTCTGTATGTAAGGACAATGTGGCTATATGTAGGTGCACTGGAAGAAGCAAAGATCACCAGTGTTGAAGCAATGATTCTTCAACATCAACTTTGTTGGACTGGTCATGTTGTGCGGATGCCTAATGATAATCTTCCAAAGCTCTATTCCTAACTCAGTAATGGAAATCGTAATGCTGGTGGTCAACAAAAGAGGTTCAAAGACTCTCTTAAGGCCTTTTTTTAAAAAAAAAGTAGTATAAACACCGACAACTGGGAAACACTGGCCTGCGAGCACTCCATTTGGAGAACAGCCTTTACCAAAGGTGTCATGGACTTTGAAAACACTCGAACTCAGGACGAAAGGGAGAAACGTGCTAAGAGGAAGGCACACTTGGCAAACCCTCACCGTGAACTCCCGCCTGGAAACCTATATCCCCACTGTGGAAGGATGTGTGGATCCAGAATTCTGGTTCGCCAGAAGCGGCTTAGTCATGCTGACCACATGACCTGGAAGCTCCCTCGGCCAATAAAGCGAAATGAGCACCGGAACCCCAGAGTCGGTCATGACTGAACCTAATGGTCAGGGGTCCCTTTACCCTTTACCTTTATCCTTTTAGTAAATCGCAGCACAACCCTACCCTCGTCTACTCAAAAGCAAGTCCAATGGAACTCCGTGAACCCACTGGGTTTAGGATTGTGCTCTTAGTTGACCATCTTAGCCCTCTGAATCAAAGGGGTTCAGATCAAGCCTAAGGATTGGCTTGAATGCACACGATACAGCGACTTCTTTAAAAGCGATGCAGGTCTGAGTCTGGATGAGTCAGGATGTGGATGGGAGATTGATGGAGAACCTGTAAGCAACACCTTGACCTCCCCAGAGAAGAGAGGTGGGATAGAAATGTCAGAAGTTCACAGATTGGCTTGTAAATACGTCTGGAAACAGTAGAAATCTTGAGCTCTTTAAAATTCAGAATGTATTCATGTTGTGTCTTAGCAGCCTCCAGGAATCAGCAACAATTATCATCCACGTTGCTTAGTTTTGTGAACTGTGAATAATCCAATCCTCACCCTCTGTCTGCATCTTTGCTCTTATTTTCTATGCACAGCATTGCTCAACTGATGTTAAAAATACTTGACATTGGTATCATTCTGCACCCAGTTTTCAACAGCATTTGTTGCCTTGACAGATCCCCTTCAGTATGCAGCTGCCAAAACAGCTTTCTTTCGTTCTTTTATTACATTTTCTGTGCTTCCCACTTGTTCTTAGCATTTGCACTAAATCTCCATCAGTATTTATCTATTGCATCTAATACAAGTGATTATGTGTGGGGGCGGAGGGGAAAAAAATAAAACTTGCAGGCTTAGCATTATTAGTTTAATTAAACTGGTCTAGATTTGTATTTCCAGTTACTTTAAGTCCTTAGGAAACGGTTAGCTTTGAAGTTAATTACTGATTGTCTTGCTGGTGGGGAGGCTAAGACCATCGCTTTTGATTTGGTCATGTTGGCATACTTCTAAAGGCTTGCTCGAGGCACGGAAAAAGCTCTGTTGTTTTCACTGAGACAAAGTAAGAACCATTTGACAGTCTCTAGCGTGGATTGTGGCACCTTGAGGAAGTTTTCTGTGGGATATAAAATGCTTGCATTTTCTTTTACTTAGTTCATTAACCCTCTGAAACAATTCTTAGACTTCTCTTGTACAGTCAGCAGGGAAGACGGCATGTTCCCCTCAGTTGGGTATATGATTTTTGCATTGTTTGGGGCTCCATGCGGTATTTGTAAGCTAAAAACAAAAAGTGGAAGAGGTTTTGGATGAGGATTGCAAATTGTTTTGCAGGGTACCTACAACTATAGTTGCTACTATAGCTGACATGGTGGTTCTCATGCCCCTGCCCCACTTGAATAGTACAGAGGTACCCAACCTTTTAGAGTCGAGGGGCACATTTTTGAAATCAAACCATCAGTCATGGGCAGAGGCTTCATCTGGCACCCAATACTGAGGGGGCCCAGCGTCACGCACCCGTGATGTCATGCATGCAAAGCACACGCATCGTTGGGAGGAGGCCAAGCACAGAGTGCAACACCGCACACCTTCAATGACCAGGGGCTTCTCATCTCGCACGCTCAGGAGGAGCTGGCCAAAGATGCTGCACCACGCTTGGTCTCCTCCATTCACTCAACGTTGGGGGGCTCAGCCCCCTGCCAACAAATATTGAGGGGGCCAAATACACCTGCACCCCTAGGAGTTGGTGCCTATGGTCATAATGTTATATATAGTGGACAGATGTACCATACGCCCAGAGAACCTGTCATTGTGCCATGGGTGTGGTTGAGTCCACCGAACACATTCTCTTGACTTGCCCTTCTTATGCAGAGCTTAGACAAAATTTTATAGACCCACTCCTATGTCAATTCAGCTTCCAACCCGGAGAAAACCAGGTTTTACACTTGGTGAATAATGCCACTAGAGCTATACCTTCCTTGGTGGCCAAATTTCTCTTTTTAGCTTTTAAGCGTCGCGAGACTATAATTGACTGTATTGATATGGGGCTACCTGTTTAGCCCATTTTAGTGTTGGCTAAGTTTTAAAATCTTCCTGGATGTTTTTAACTGTGTATTGACACAATGTACTTTTTTCTGACTGACGGTCGAATAAAAAGGATGATGATGATGATAGTGGACAGATGAATAATCAGAAGTTATCTATTTTCTTTCTTTCTTTCTTTCTTTCTTTCTTTCTTTCTTTCTTTCTTTCTTTCTTTCTTTCTCTCTCTGCTTCTTTCTTTCCTACTTCCTTTTTCTTTCATTATCTCCTCTCTTTCACTCCTCTTCTCTCCTTTATCCCTTCTCTATCCTTCTCCATCCTTCTCTCTCTCTCTCTCTTTTCCTTTCTTTCCTTTTAAAAATTGTTCTTTCTGGTCTGTGTTTTTATTTAGATTAATGTCTTAGAGTTTTTATAAAAAGATAGTAGATGATAATCTTGATCCCTTTTTCCAAATTCTAATAAAATTACTGGGGGGGGGGGAGAGGAAAAAAAGAAGGCAATTTTCTGTGCCTCGGGGTTCTAAGTAGCACAATATCAGTTTATAACCCTTGACATCTGGCTCTTCCTCTTATGTAGATTTTAAGTTGCTGAACACTATGGTGACAAACTGACCATTTAGATAAGATACATTTTGTGTGTATGAAATAGCACATTGACACGGATATATCTTTCCACACCCCTGTGCCCCCATGCTATCAAATGCATTATTCAGAACAGTGGTTTGCATGAGCCACTAAGGAAGATAATAACACAGTACAATTCAAAACAGTAACCATGGATTGCACATTTATTAAAAATCCAGTTAAAACTATTTATTGTAATTAATTCAACAAATTTGTTGATCTTGATCTAGTGATATTAGCTTTTCAAAGTCTGATAGTTATTTTCACTTCCAGTGACACTCCCCCCATGCCACTCCCTTGCTTCTTAGCACCCCGTGTGTGTGTGTGTGTGTGCCTACTTTGGGAACCACTATGCTAAACGAAATACAGCTCTGTATAGTAGGAAGTGGTGCTTTTCTCTCCCTCTCTACACTCCCTCTCTGTGCGGGTGCAGACACTATGCCGGTCCTCAGACCCCTCATCAAGCCTAAGATCATCAAGAAGAGGACGAAGAAGTTCATCCGCCATCCTTCTGACCACTATGTCAAAATTAAGCGTAACTGGTGTATTGCAATACAGCGCAACAGCTGCATTGACAACAGAGTTCTCAGAAGATTCAAGGGCTAAATATTGATGCCCAGTATTGGGTATGGTAGCTGCAAGAAGACAAAGCACATGTTGCCTTCAGCATTCACACCAAGTAAATTAGCCATAATGTATAGAAGCCAAGATAAATTATGCTGGAAATGTAGGGAAAAAGAAGGGAATTTCCTATATATGTGGTGGACTTGTACTAAAGTTAAAATCTTCTGGGATACTATTTACAACGAATTAAAAAAGGTATTGAAATAAAATTTTAGTAAAAAACCAGAAGTATTTTTATTAGGACTAATTGATGAGGAAATCCACCCAAAAGATGTAAACCTATTCATGTACGCCACAACGGCAGCAAAAATCCTCCTGGCCCAAAGATGGAAACAACAAGAGCTCCCCACCCTGGATGATTGGCAGATAAAGATGATAGAGTATGTGGAACTGGCGAAGTTGATGGAGAACATTAGGAATTGACCCGACGAAAGATTTCAAAGGGACTGGAGCAAATTTATAAATTATTTGAAAGTAAGTTGTAAACACCTAAAAACATTTGTAGCATTAACGTGAAATGTTTTGTAATGTGGAAAGAAGGAGCTAATTTACAAATGAAAGGGTGATTGTTATATGATTATATATGGTAAAGAAGTGATTATAGAAATGTGATAAATATGTTAAAATAGTAGGAAAGTCAGAAAGAGTGACGGAAGGAAGTCGTTACTCATTTGGAGTAGTGATGTAAGCTCGAGATATGTATGATATGTATGATAAAATGAAATGAAATATGGAAAACTTAAAAAAAATCATTATTAAAAAAGGGGGGGGGAGAAGAGGACGAAGAAGTTCATCCGCCATCCTTCTGACCACTATGTCAAAATTAAGCGTAACTGGTGGAAGCCCAGCTGTACTGACAACAAAGCTCTCAAAAGGTTCAAGGGCCAAATATTGATGCCCAGTATTGGGCTTCTTAGCAGTAAGAAGACAAAGCACATGTTGCCTTCAGCATTCAGAAAGTTCCTTTGACACAACGTCAAAGAGCTGGAGGTGCAGCTGCTGAGCAACAAGTCCTATTGTGCAGAGATTGCTCACAAGGTTTCATCCAAGAATCGGAAGATAATTGTGGAAAGAGCAGCTCAGCTTGCTATCAAAGTCACCAATCCAAATGCCAGGCTTCGCAGTGAGGAAAATGAATAGTTGCTCTTGTCCAACTGTACTATATTTAATAAAAAGTCAAAAAGTGAAAAAAAGTGAAGAAGAAAAACCAGTAGGATGTGGCTACATACTGGGGCCTTTTCTTTATTTCTTTGGTGATATTTGCATATTGCAAAGTCAAAAGCATCTTTCACAGCATCATCCAAAGCAGATGGTTAATGAATCAACAGAAAACAAGCATTTTATAAAACAGAATGCAGCCTTGAAGCAGGGATTTGCAATTGTGAAAAGGCATTCCTTAGAAAGGAATGCTCAAAGTGATGACGTGTTTGTGTTTTTTAAATAATTTTTGCATATTATTGGTGTGTGCAAAATCAGAAATCTTTCTCAACCTGGGTGAGGCACTGAACCCTCTAACGTGAGTGTTTGGATGATGGTGTATTCATAATGGGAACACCAGTTTACAGAGAAAGTTCCTTTTTAACAAAAACCGTGTTGTAGGTATGATGGGAATAAGCAAAACTGCTGAATGAAAGAGCTTTTCCGGGAGATCAAAGAAGAGTGCTTGCCTTTAATTATTTAAAACATACAAAACTGAGTTGTTTGTTGACAGTAATTACTCTGAACTAAGGTTAAAAACAATATAATGCCATGTCTTCCTCATCTGTCATGAGCAGAAACTTGGAGAGCACTTATCACAATGCATAAGCTTGTGGAAGAATGGTAACACTGAATTTTTAAGCAACCAGGCTTTTAAAGGATCCTGGGTTTCTTAACTGAAGGATTGAGAAACGTGTTTCTCTACATTGGTGTCAAACCTTAAAAGCAAGGGTTTTTAGGGTGCACTCGGGGCACTTTGTGGCACGATGCAAAGGGCAAGATACTACTGCATCCCCATTCCTGTCCTCCAACAAAGGGAAATAGCGAGGAGACTTAGGAGGAACAGCCAGATTACTGGGTGATGCTGTGGGTTAAACCACAGAGCCTAGGGCTTGCCGATCAAATCCCCGCGACGGGGATTCAAATCCCCGTGACGGGGTGAGCTCCTGTTCCTCAGTCCCTGCTCCTACCAATCTAGCAGTGCAAGCAGATAAATAGGTACCACTCTGGCGAGAAGGTAAACTGTGTTTCCGTGCGCTGCTCCGGTTCGCCAGAAGTGGCTTAGTCATGCTGGCCACATGACCCAGAAGCTGTACGCTGGCTCCCTCGGCCAGTAAAGCGAGATGAGTGCCGCAACCTTAGAGTTGTCCACGACTGGACCTAATGGTCAGGGGTCCCTTTACCTTTACCTTTACCTAACTCAGTATTATTTACACTGTTTGGCAGAAGATCTACAGGGTTTCAGTCTCTCCTAGCCCTGTCATGAACCTGGGACCACGTCTTCTTGCTGTTGCAGGCTGACATTCTTGCTTAAGATAATTTTGTCTATCATGAGTGTTCAATAACGGATTGATGTTTTTGAATTATGGTGCTGGAGGAGACTCTTGAGAGTCCCGTGGACTGCAAGAAGATCAAACCTATCCATTCTGAAGGAAATCAGCCCTGAGTGCTCACTGGAAGGACAGATCCTGAAGCTGAGGCTCTAATACTTTGGCCATCTCAGGAGAAGAGAAGACTCCCTGGAAAAGACCCTGATGTTGGGAAAGATGGAGGGCACAAGGAGAAGGGGACGACAGAGGACGAGATGGTTGGACAGTGTTCTCGAAGCTACCAGCATGAGTTTGACCAAACTGTGGGAGGCAGTGGAAGACAGGAGTGCCTGAAGTGCTCTGGTCCATGGGGTCACGAAGAGTCGGACACAACTAAGCGACTAAACAACAAGAAAGCCTGCTATTTTGCAAATAAAAAATAATGAAACAATATGCCATAGTTATTTTCAGGGACACTGGTTCAGAAACTGGCACCGGCTTTGCTTAATTTCATTTGCATGCAAGTTACGGTAATAGCACAGCAAATTAAATTCTGGTCCAGCTTGGGCTCCAAGTTTGTAGATTTCCTCTCCTAGTGAAAGACTGCGTGCTCCAGTCCTAGGCAAAGCTGTGATGGTAGTTGTGCTACCTGGACCTATAAAAACATCATGCTGAGCTCCCATTTTGTTAGCCCTGCAGGCTCATACATAATTAGAGCTTTAATGGGAAGAGCCAGTGGTAAGTGAGAAGTTCTAACATCTCTGTAGAGGGAGATAGTTAAAAGAAATAGCCTATTTAGAAAGTGTCAGCAAGATGGGCCCAGTGGCCTTTACATGTTCCAAGAATATCATCATATACCTTCTGCAAGGTCCTGGTTCACTGGAGGATGACTCCCTGGGTCTGGTGGCTGCATCATTTTCTCTGTAATAGATTTTCCTTTTTCCAATCTGTTGCGTTCTCTGACAGCTGCTCACCAGGGTGACACAATTTGTGGTTTATCTGTCTGTTCTGAAGGCTTGGGACATGTGCGGCAGAAGTGCTGTGACAGTCACGTTCAGCCTGTATTGTACCATCTTCTCTTTAATCATGGATAAATATTGATTGAAATATTTTGCTTGGAATTAATTCTCTCAACATTTCTGTGTTCCAAACAAAACGAGCAGATTGACAGGGTTGTTCCTTTTCTTTCCAAAACGACAGGAAATGGCCTTAGAGCCTCTGCAAAATGGAGTGCAGTGCAATTCATGGTCTCTTGCGACTGAAGAGCAAGACCTGGCTTCGTAAACAAGAGCTTACATTTTGTAAAGCCTTCTAAGGCTAGTAGAACACAATTATATGCCTCTTAGGTTTTCAATAATAATTACTTCTTACTGGGTTAATTGTGCTCCCATTCCACCTCTGGTTTTATTTTGCTGTGCAAGAAATGCAAGGAAGCACACATGAGGAACTGTGATCACCTGTCTCGCCTGCTAATTGATTTATCTATTAAACTCACATAAATTTGTACATGGATGAAACGATAGCTCTGAAGCAAGAAGCATTCTGTTTCTGTTCTTAAATGACACAGGCGGTCTTGTAACAGGTGTCATGTTAGAAGAAGCATTCTCTTCTACGGGGTGAGAAGAGGAAAAATATGTCTTTGCCACCTGCAGTTCTCTGGCTCTGCCTGCAGTCTTATGAGGCTGAGTTTATTTATCTCTGGATTAATTGAAAGGGGGAGCAGGGTCGAGGTTATTTTTTTTTTAAAAAAAGCTTTATGCATCTGCATCTAATCTTGCTGCTTTCTAAAATTTATTTATTACTGTGTGTTTTGCTTTTTCTAATCAAAGAATAAAATAGAATCTGGATTAAGGGATTTTCTCAAAATGGTGGAGGTGGTGTGTGCTGTCTTCGACTTCCCAATCGGAAGGTCAGCGGTTCGAATTCGCTTGTCGGGGTGAGGTCCCGTTGCTCTGTCCCAGCTCCTGCCAACGTAGCAGTTCAAAAACACACCAGTGCAAGTAAATAAATAGGTACCGCTGCGACGGGAAGGGAAATGGCATTTCTGTGCGCTCTGGTTTCCGTCATGGTGTCCTGTTGTGCCAGAAACGGTTTAGTCCTGCTGGCCACATGACCCGGAAAGATGTCTGTGGGTAAATGCTGGCTCCCTCGGCCTGAAAGCAAGATGAGCACCTCAACTCCAGAGTCACCTTTGACTGGACTTAACCGTCCAGGGGTCCTTCACCTTTTACTTAGTAGTGGAGTCACTCGTCCTTCTTCTTATAGGAAATGCTCTGCAATGTGGGAGGGGGCAAAAATGGCGGGCTCAATGATGATCCTTTGGGAGGAGTGAAAAATTTCCCTATCTTCATCTGAGGAATATTGGAGGGACTGCTGCTTCTGAGCTATGTGATCCATCTAGACTCTGTGGTAGTCTGTTGCATGCTATAATTCAGGCCTGAGATGTGGTAGCAGTGACCGGTATGTTAAGTTGTGGGTGAACATATCAGAGGACACAGCTCTTGTTTATTCACAGGCCAGAACAGAACTGAACTGAAGGGTTCAGCCAGCCTGCTTACCGGGTATATAGAGCTCCACTAGAACTCAACAGTAACCATTTTCTGTAACTATCCAATCACTGAACGTCACTTTCGATCCCTTATTTGCATATGTGGACCTGAACTATCTACAGTATCCCCCTGCTGGCCCAGGGTGAGAACTTCAGTACATAACATGGGATATCCAGCCTCCTCCTCTTCCTAAGCATAAACATTGCTTTTTTAAAAAAGGACAGTGTTTGCAGGCCTGGCTACTTGAAATCAAGCAACAACCCATTTGCACATGGGATTCCTTCTCAAGCCAGGGATATACAAGCAGCGGCCAGCTTCAGTGTTATGTTAAATGAGTGTACATTAGTATTTGTATTGTGTGTGTTTCAAACAGAAAATGTCTGAAGGCCCCCAATGTGGATCAGGACCGTGGCATGTGGGGAGTGGGGTTTTAACCCTTTCACCCATACTGAATATTACAGTGCTGCATTTTTTAAAGAAGGCATAGGTAAATAGGAGGAAGCAACAACCCCAGAAGTCTTGCACTTTTGAGTTATTTTTTCCTTTGTCTTTTAGTTGTCTGTCTTGCCACCAAGAACTGACACATAGTTTGACAAATTTGTCTTGTTCCTAAATTTCCAGAGGCACAACATGAAAGCATACAGAAAAAAAACAACAACCAGCCAAGGAAGAATAAATGAAACTTCTTTCCTAGCTCAAGGTCTTGGATCAAGTTTGTAATCTTTCTAGTATTCTTTATAAACCAAGAAATCAAAGTTGCTTTTTTCTTTCCTACTGACCATAGATAACGGATTCTTTCTAGGGGATAAACGGCTTGCTCTCACAAAACGTTTTGCTTCTTTCATTGTTTACACTGTCTCCTTTCACTCTCTGCTTCTCCTTCCAATGCTAGCCAAGGTATTTCATCCACTTTTTATATATATGACAGTCTAAAGCAATCAGGAAAGAAAATGACACTTTGTGCTTGTTTTCGAGGTCCCCTGCACCTGGACTGCCAATCCTGTAGCTGAACAAAACAAAAGTTTTGGACAGTTCAGACACCATCTCTTGTGATACGTGAGCAGTTCCACTTACTCTTTGACACAGGGTAACATGGAGAAATGGAGGACTGAGTATTTATTTGACAGAGTATATCGGAGTAGCATGCAGTGCTCTTTTTCTAGAAAAAGAGGTGCCTCTTAAAATGCCAATGGCGCCCACTTGAGAGGTTCCGGAACTGAGCTCTGGTGAGTTCTGGCTGAAAAAAAAGTCTGGGTAGGAAGTCCCTATTTTCACTGGAGAAAAGTTGGAGGTTATGGAGTCACGTGACCTCTGAGCCAAGTAGATAAGTAACTATGCAGCCTTTAGAAGACATCTGAAGGCAACCCTCTACAGGGAAGTTTAAAAAAAGAAACATTTAATGCTTTATTATGGTATATATGTTGGAAGCCACCCAGAGTGGCTGGGGCAAGCCAGTAAGATGGACGGGGTATAAATAATGGGATAGGACATCCCTATTTTCATCAGAAAAATGTTGGAGGGTATGGAGCAAAAGGTGTGACTTTTGAAAGTAAAAGTCACTGTGTGGAAAGGCTCTGTGTGTAGCCCAAATTCTGAGGTGATTAAGGGAAGTTACTGAGATTTCTGATGTGGATCACACCATTAACAAAAGCATCTTGAGGTGGGTCAGGGGCTGACGTCACAAGGCAGTTTATTCCATTTTTGTGTCTTTTCCAGAACTGTTAATTAGAGATATACAGTAGGTGAGAGTCCATATGATGTAAAAGTCACTTCTGGTACTATAGTGGAATATAATGCAAGCTTAGCACTCATTTCCATGTTATTTGGAGTGGCTGGGGAATCCCAGCCAGATGGGTGGGGTATAAACAAACAAACAAACAAACTCCCCCCCCCCCGCAAGTTAACAACACAGAAATAAGCACTCAATTTGCACTATAATTTCACCATAATTCCAGAAATGGCTTGAAAGCTCAACTGTAGCGCAGAACCTAACAGTTCAGTTAGGGGAAAGGCATGAAAAGAGAATAAACTGCCTTTTGAATGTAGCCAGGGACGCCCTACATTCCAAATGGCTCCGTGACCTTGGCTGTTCAAAAAAACAAAGGTGAGAGGGTGGCTCTATTATTAAGCAATGACACAGTCCAAGGACATGATCCAGCCAGGCCAAAGCACTCAATGAGGGCATAGAATAGGGCCACTGAATCACATAGTTTAGGGATGGGGTGTGCCCTGGGGAAAGTACGAGTTGGATGCAGGTCCTAGAGGGCCATATTTGACACACACCAATGAGGCTCGCAATCCGTGTTTCTATTGCATTTCAGCCATATTGCTTTTTGACACTGCTGGCGCACAAAGGTATTTCATTAGCTATAGTTAAACAATACACATTTTACTATGAGACTTGGGCCTCAGAGGTATGTGGCAGTGATATGAGAAGTAAGTAAAAGTAAAGTAAAGGACCACAGGATGGTTAAGTCCAGTCAAAGGTGACTATGGGGTTGCAGCACTCATCTCATTTTCAGGCCGAAGGGGCCAGCATTTGCCCACAGACAGCCTTCTGGGTCATGTGGCCAGCATGACTAAATTGCTTCTGGCACAACAGACGCAGGCCCTGACATAAGCCAAAGTGCACAGAAACACTGTTTACCTTCCCACAGTAGCAGTACCTGTTTATCTACTTGCACTGGCATGCTTTCGAACTGCTAGGTTGGCAGAAGCTGGGACAGAGCAATGGGAGCTCACCTTGTCAAGGGATTCAAATTGCTGACCTTCTGATTGGCAAGCCCAAGAGGCTCAGTGGTTTAGACCACAGTGCCACCCACATCCTGAATAAACAAGCACACAATCACTGATAGGTCCACTCACCATTGTGAGGCTCAAAGCAATGAAGATGATGCCTCCCCAGCTGTTGCCATTGACTGAGAGTTTCTTGTGATGTCACAAAAGCCCTTGGCAACTGAGTGGATATAAAGGCAGGCCAAGGGGAAAGCCCTTTTTTTATTTCCAGCAGGACACACCTGGCAATGGATGTGACATTCAGCACTGCCCAGGTTTCTTCCATTTGGAGGAGGCAAAGTGATGAATGGAAGGAGGCAATCCTCTGGCAGTGGGATGCTAGGGAGTGATAATAAGGCAAGTTTGCTTGCTTGAAGGCTGCTGGTATCTGTGGTTGGAAGCTGGTGGATGTCTCATGATGGACCTAAGAGAAGCTGGCAGATGTTTGTGAAAACATTATCTGGAGAGTTCATCTCAGACTGCAGCAAGCAGAAGAAGGGTAAAGGTAAAGGACCCCTGGGTGGTTAAGTCCAGTCAAAAGCGACTATGGAGTTGTGGCGCTCATCTCGCTTTCAGGTGAAGGGAGCGGACATTTGTCCACAGACAGCTTTCCAGGTCATGTGGCTGGCATGACTAAACTGCTTCTGTCTCAATGGAACACCGTGACAGAAACCTGAATGCATAGAAATGGCGTTTACCTTCCCGCCACAGTGGTACCTATTTATCTTTTTTTTTAAAAAAAAATGATATTTATTAAAGTTTCAAGAAAAAATTACATAGGTAAAAAGAAAAGAAAAAAATACAAAAAATACAAAATACAAAATACAGGAAAAAGACAGAAAACACTTAAAAGAAAAACACATCAATCTTTCCATAACTTACATTTCATTTCCTTACTTCCCTGACTTCCTCACACCTCCCTTTTTTGTATTCCAGTTCTATTAGTTAATTCAGCAATTCCTTTCCCTCTTAGTTTTTGTCTTAATCCTTTAACTTAACATATTATAACTTTAGATTCTCATCTGTTAACAATCCATTTGTACATACACCTTTATAATATTGCTGCTAAGACCACTTAATTTCATTCTGGCATCATTCTAACATTCATTAATTTTGCAATATTTCTGTAAATAGTCTTTAAATTTCTTCCAATCTTCTTCCACCGACTCTTCTCCCTGGTCTCGGATTCTGCCAGTCATTTCCGCCAGTTCCATATAGTCCATCACCTTCATCTGCCATTCTTCCAGAGTGGGTAAATCTTGTGTCTTCCAATACTTTGCAATAAGTATTCTTGCTGCTGTTGTGGCATACATAAAGAAAATTCTGTCCTTCTTTGGCACCAATTGGCCGACCACGCCCAGGAGAAAAGCCTCTGGTTTCTTCAAGAAGGTATATTTATATACCTTTTTCATTTCATTATAGATCATCTCCCAGAAAGCCTTAATCCTTGGGCAAGTCCACCAAAGGTGAAAGAATGTACCTTCAGTCTCTTTACATTTCCAGCATTTATTATCGGGCAAGTGATAGATTTTTGCAAGCTTGACTGGTGTCATGTACCACCTGTATATCATTTTCATAATATTCTCTCTTAGGGCATTGCATGCCGTAAACTTCATACCTGTGGTCCATAACTGTTCCCAGTCAGCCATCATTATGTTATGTCCAACATCTTGTGCCCACTTAATCATAGCAGATTTAACCGTTTCATCCTGACTATTCCATTTCAACAGCAAGTTATACATCTTTGACAAAATCTTAGTTTTGGGTTCTAACAGTTCTGTTTCTAATTTTGATTTTTCCACCTGGAAGCCTATTTTCTTATCCAAATTGTATGCCTCCATTATCTGATAATAATGAAGCCAATCTCGCACTTTGTTTTTTAGTTTCTCAAAGCTCTGCAATTTCAGTCTATCTCCCTCTTGTTCCAGAATTTCCCAATATTTCGGCCATTTGGCCTCCATATTGAGCTTTTTCAGAGCTTTCGCTTCCATCGGTGACAGCCACCTTGGGGTTTTATTTTCCAGTAGGTCTTTATATCTTATCCAGACATTAAACAATGCTTTCCTGACAATATGATTTTTAAATGCTTTATGTGCTTTGACCTTATCATACCACAAATATGCATGCCATCCAAATACATTATTAAAACCTTCTAAGTCCAAAATGTCTGTGTTTTCAAGAAGCAGCCATTCTTTCAGCCAGCAAAAAGCTGCTGATTCATAATAAAGTTTAAGGTCTGGCAGGGCAAATCCACCTCTTTCCTTTGCATCCGTTAGTGTTTTAAATTTTATTCTAGGCTTCTTGCCCTGCCAGACAAATCTAGAGATATCTCTCTGCCACCTCTTGAAGCAATCCATTTTGTCCAAAATTTGCAATGTTTGAAAGAGAAATAACATTCTAGGCAATACATTCATTTTTATCGCAGCAATACAGCCTAGCAGTGAAAGCTTCAAATTTGACCAAATTTCTAAGTCTTTTTTCACTTCAGCCCAGCATTTTTCATAATTGTCTTTAAATAAATTCCCATTTTTTGCTGTCATGTTAATCCCCAGGTATTTCACTTTCTTAACCACTGTTAAACCTGTCTCATTCTGAAACCTCTCTTTCTCAATCACAGTTAAGTTTTTCTCTAAGACCTTTTTTTTAAACTTATTCAATTTAAATCCTGCAACCTGACCAAATTCTTGAATCAGTTCCAAAACCCTTTTAGTACTAGATTCTGGCTCCTGCAATGTCAATACTAAGTCATCTGCAAATGCTCTCAATTTGTACTGTTTAGCTCCGACTTGTATACCTTTAACCAATTGGTCCCTTCTAATCATATTCAGCAGGACCTCCAGGACCGATATAAATAGCAATGGGGAGATTGGGCAACCTTGTTGTGTCCCTTTTTCTATCTTAAATTCCTCCGTCACCACGTTATTTACAATTAATTTAGCCTTTTGTTCTGAATAAATTGCACTTATACTGTTTTCAAAGCCTTGGCCTACCCCCATCCCCTGTAGGTTCTTCTTCATGAAACTCCAAGAAATATTGTCAAAGGCTTTCTCCGCGTCCACAAATATCAAAACTGCCTTGGTATTTATATTCACTTGTAGTTTTTCTAAAATATTGATTATGTTTCTCACATTGTCAGACAAATGTCTACCCGGGAGAAAGCCTGCTTGATCTTTATGTATCTCTTCCATTAGGACTCTTTTTAGTCTTTTAGCCAAAATGTCTGCAAAGATTTTGTAATCCACATTGAGCAGTGATATGGGGCGGTAGTTCTTAAGCTGGGTCTTTTCAGTCTCTATTTTCGGTACAAGTGTAATATACGCTTCTTTCCACGACTCTGGTGCCCTTTTCCCACCCATTATTTCGTTACAGACTTCCTTTAAAGGTTGTACTAACCATTCCTTCAAGGATCTGTAGTATCTAGAAGTCAGTCCATCCGGTCCTGGAGATTTACCTAGTTGCATATTCTGAATGGCACCTTCTACCTCCTGTTCAGTTATTTTATAGTTCAGCATTAATTTATTTTCTTGAGAGATTTTTTGTAATCCATTTGTTTTCAAAAATCGGTCTACATCAATTTCTTTCTGTGGCCCTTGTGTATATAGTTGTTTAAAATACCTCTGGAAACAATTTCTAATCTCAACTGGGTTCTGTATATTCCTTCCTTCCACTTCTAAATTTGTGACAGTATTTGGTTTTTGTCTTTTTTTCATTTGCCAAACCAACAATTTCCCACATTTAATAGCCGACTCAAATGTCTTTTGTCTCATTTGTTTAATTTCCCATTCTATCTCCTGATTCATCATTTTCATGTATTGTACTTGATATAACTTTATTTCTCTCAAAATCTCTTGCGACTTTGGTTTTGCTCTCAATTTCTTTTCACTTTCCTTTATTTTCTCCAATATTTTATCCTTCTTCTCATTTTGGATTCTCTTCTTTAATGCATTCTGTTGTATCAAGAACCCTCTCATAACAGCTTTGCTTGCGTCCCAGATTACTCTTTTTTCAACATTGGTGTTCATATTTATCTCAAAATAGTCTCTCAAGGTTTTTTGGGCCTTCTTAATGACTTCTTCATCTCTAAATAAGGCATCATTCATCCTCCATCTGAAGGAGCCGGTTGGTGTTAGTTTCATCTCCATCTTAACAGCATTATGGTCGGAGCAGGTTTTTGGGCAGATTTCCACTTTTCTTGTCTTTGGTGCCATTCCTCTAGTTAGCCATATTTGGTCAATTCTTGTCCATGTCAGTTTGGCTTCAGAAAAGAAGGTTCCCTCTCTGGCCAGGGGATTCTTTGTTCTCCAGATATCAACTAAGTCCAAGTTGTCTGTCATCTCAAAAAAGGTTTTCGGTAGTCTACCATCCTTAGTGACTACCTGTCTTTGTGCCTTGTCCATATGTGTAGATACCACTCCATTCATATCTCCCATCAAAATCACATTATAGTCCAAATAGTCCATCAAGGTCTCATGCAACTTTTTAAAGAATTCAGATTTCCCTCATTTGGTGCATAAACTCCTACTATTAAGAATTTCTCTCCTTGTATTTGAATTTCAATTGCCACAAACCTTCCTTGGTCATCTTTGAAGATAAATTTCGGTAATAGTCTCTCCTTTGCATAAATCACTACTCCTCCTTTTTTAACTTTATCCGAAGAAATAAACTCCTGGCCCAGTCTTTTATTGATCAATACTTTCCTGTGTAGCCTTGTTACATGTGTTTCCTGTAAGCAAATCAAGTCCCATTGTTCCTTTTTAATAAATGAAACACAGATTTCCTTTTCTGAGGGGAGTTGAGACCATTACAATTCCAGCTTAATAGTTGCAGAGCCATGATGTAGTTACTTTACTTCTCCTCCAACTGCACCAAGTGCCTGTTCCTGTTCTGTCGGTGGTATCACCTTCTCCAGGCGGTCTTTTAATTCAAAAGGTAGTCTTGGTATGTCTAAAGTTCCTCTTTCTAGTATTCTTGACTCTTCTCCAGCTTCTTTCTGCAGGTCTTCTCCGTGGTCTCTCAAAAATCTTTCTTTGTCGTCCTCTGATCTTATTTTTATCTTTCTTCCTTTGAAACTAAAGGAAAGGCCTTGGGGGATTCCCACCTAAAGATGATTTTGTTGCTTCTCAGCAGGGCAACCAAATCTCTATAATTGGATCTAAGGTCCAAAAGATATTTCGGAATGTCCTTAAATATCTCCACCTTTGACTGATGTATTTCCAAAGTCTTCTGGAAGTGCAGACTCAAGATTTTGTCTCTCTCCTCTTTTGTTCAGAGGGTGATCAAACAGTCTCTCACCCTGTTCTTCTTCCCTCCTCTTCCAAGCCTGAAAGCGCTCACTATCTTAAAGTTGTCCTTCTCCAAGTCTGGATTCCAAAAGTCTGAAAATTCCTGGGTAAGGAAGTCAGTCAAGTTGTCTTTCTCAAGTTCAGGTACGGCCCTGATCCTCAAATTCGTTTGTTTCTCCTTCAATTCAATTGTAGACAATATTAACCTGTGGTCTTCAAGTTGCTTGTGTATCGGTGGTATCTTCTCTTCTACAGCAACTGCTATTTCCTTTGCTTCTTCAGCTGTCTTTCGGGTCAAAGTAGATTCCTGTAGCAATTTCTCAATGGTTTCTGTGTTAGTATTTACCTTCTGTCCCAAATTGTTAATACTTGTGGTATTTTGATCAATTTTAACTGATGCTTCAGCTACTTGTTTACTTATTTTTTCCAGAGATTCATTAATTTTACCTAGTGCCTGAGCTAAAGCATCTTCGGATGCCATTCCTTTGGGTTTAGATTGTACCAATGCAGCCCCTGTTGGTAAGCCAGAAGGGCCAGAAGGGCCAGATGTTGATGCTCTTCGCTGCAGCCCAACGTCTGGGCGAAATGATCTACCAGACCTCGTTGTTTTTTCCTGAAGCAAATCTATTTTCTCTTTTCCATTTGCCATAACACTCTAGATAAGGCCCAAGGTCAATCCCACGACCAGAATTTGTTTTGAAGTGGAAAATTCCCCTGGCCCAGTTATTATTGTAACAGTTTCAAACTTCCTCTAGGGGGACACAGTAGCAGTCCGAAGTTGTTACCTTAAAATAAATAACCTTTTTTCTTTTAATCCCCCCAGTTCACAAAATAGACGACAGTTTCAATTTTCAGTTATTTTCCAGTTACTTTGAAACCAGGAGAAGCCAGCCAGAAATATTGTATCCCACTTGTATCTCACTTGCAGAGTTAGCTGTCAGAAAGTACTTTCACCAATAGCGCATTTCACAGTACGACATTCTTATTGTTCATTGGCAGCCCGTTCCCAGGGTTTAAGCGGTGGATTTTAGCTTCCTTTTCTCTCTTTTTGCAGGGAAATACAGTTCACACCTTTCCCCCCTCCTCTCCTGCAATCAAGGGGGGAAATCGCTTGTTTTGATGATAGAATTATAGTCCTTTTCAAACGTCTTTCAAGGTTTTAGCTTGCCAGTTCATTGCTTTACTCTATTTACAAAGAACGGAAGGCAGACTTCCTGTTTATGCTTCTCCGCTTCAGTATCAAATTACTTCTTTATTCTTTGTTCTCCTTTAATTCCCAAATTAGCCTACTCACGGATCGTTGTTTTGTAGCCAAATTGTCACAGGAAAATGGTAGCGCTCTCCGGTAATGGCTGTGTGGCTTCACTCCACGGAAGAAGCAGTTGACTCACAGCACCACGCCGCTTCCCCGCTTCACTCCAGAACCCGTAATCAGGCTCCTTTGCAAATGGGGGGGGGCGCAAAAGGTGCCCGCCGAGTCCCACGGTCACAGGCTTCACCCGCCTGTGATTTTTGAAGGGTCCCCGCTTCGCCGTAGCGGTACAGACCCGATTTCCGCAGAGCCGGTCCCCTCCGAGTCAGAGGGAATCCGCCATTACCGATGGCGCCACCCCGGAAGTCCAGTATGACTGCCCCTATTTATCTACTTGCACTGGCATGCTTTCAAACTGCTTGGTTGGCAGGAGCTGGGACAGAGCAACAGGAGCTGACCCCGTTATGGGAATTCGAACCACTGACCTTCCGATCAGCAAGCCCAAGAGGCTCGGTGGTTTAGACCACAGTGTCACCTGCTGTAATAACATTGGCCTGTCCACTCTATGTGATTCTGTTACATGCTTCACAAGTAACTAGGCCACATGGGGGTAAAAAATATTATTATTATTATTATTATTATTATTATTATTATTATTATTATCATTATTATTATTATCATTTATACCCCAGCCATTCTGGGTGTCTTTCAGCACACATAAAAACATTTGAAAACATCAAACATTAAAAACTTCCCAATACAGGATTCTGCACAGTTAGACATCCAAATCCAACCCTTAAAGGGCTGCAGCAGAAAGAGTGCTAGTTCTGCGCTTCCATCCCCACATCAAAAGTGTGCTGTCCACCTCTCTGTTCTCGGCTACCATCTCGCAGAGTGTCTTTTCCTGCAGAAAACAGAACGTTAGGTACATACATACATTTGCATTTGATGTGTATGTTTTGCCCTGAAGTCAGGAAATAAATGGGGGGGAACACAACTTGAACTAAATGACCCGGAGAGTTTTCATTTCATAAGAGTTAAGGACATTAGTGGAACACAAGCAACATTTTAAGAGAGCATGGGGAGAAGAGACAAACAGCGAGTTTTTGGCATTCATTCAATGTACACAAGTCTCCTTGCGGATTAAGTGAATACTTGAGGGTCGATTTCAAAATATTCCACTGGAAAAATGGTCATGTCCATGTGGAGATGGCAGTATTAAGTCAGTGGCTCATGTGCTTCTGGCTTGCATTCTTTATAAAGATTTTCACCAAAACCAGACTAAATGTCTTTCCTTCTGCAGTGTTGGATGGCAGGTTGAGAGGAGTTCCCTACCAGGACAGACTTTGCTCATATGCTCAAGACATCGATTCCATAAAACATATTTTGTTGCACTGTGCAAAATATGAGCAAGCCAGGGCTGAACTGATACAACCCTTGCTGGTACCTTTCCCGGGAAAATCAGAGCCTCACTATGTCAGGTTCCTATTGGAAGACCAGACAAATGCTAGAACATTAGCAGTGGCCAAGTTTTTATCGGTGGTTGCAAGAAGCAATGATCCCTATATTCTGAACAAAATGCTTGTTTAACCTGGAGGTAGGCTGTATGAATTGTGTATTGCTTTGTAACGATTTGTTGGGTCTCTGTACCATAATAAAGATTGTTGTTGTTATAAAGATTTGAGGAGTGAGGTTATTACCCCTCTAGTATTGTCCATGCTACTGTGTCCTTTCTTATAGCAGATCAAGATGATCAGGTGACAGAAAAACTGCAAGGTTTTTAGCGGGAGCAATTAGAATAAGATCTACTATTTGATTATTGATGTAAACCCCCCAAATATTTTTTTCTATAGTTTTTACCTCGATCTTCAGTACATTTTATTGCTTATGGCTAGTGGCTGATGCAAATGAGGATTCTTCTGATTCTGAATGCATGAGGAGAAAAATGTACGGGCTGCCTGCGCATCTCCCTCCAACGCGCCACAAGACTTTCCCCCATTTGAAAAACCTTGGGTTGCTCCAGGTGGAGACAAACTGACCTAGGACAATTCAGGACTGCCCCAATCCGATATGTCCAATTCTTGGATCAACCCAAATTAGCCTGGTTAGGGATCCAGGATTTGGCCGGATATGGTGCACATTCCCAATGGACGTAGATTTTGTGCTGAACAAATTCTGCAGGTCCCACAGCGGAAGGCAGAGGGCCTTCTCGGCAATGGCACCCTCCCTGTGGAATGCCCTTTATCAAGGAAATAAAAAATGACACAAGTTTTAGAAGGCACCTGACGTTTATTGTGTTTTTATGTGCGGTTGGGACCACCAAGCCAGATGGGCATGGTATAACAACAACAACAACAACAACAACAA